AAGGCTCTCTAAACGTTTAGGCTTTATATCATTCGACCTTTGTTAAACTTCTTTTGCAACATATTTGACCTTCTCCGGGACTAATGGTTGCTTGAGTGGATTATATGGTTTAAAGATCTACATGCACCCTCTACCCTCACAGTCAGCGGTTCGACTTGTTGCTAAAAAGGCCGACATAAGATTATTGACATATCTTGGCTATTTTCAAGGTCCATAACAAGAAAGTCTGTCGAGCACATCATATTCCCGACCTTGATGAGCACATCCTCAACCTAGCCCCATAAATATCTTATGCTCATATCTGCCAGCTGCAGTGTTACATTTGATCTTTTGACTTCTCCAATTCTTAGTTTCCTTAAAGTAGATAAAGGTATTAAATTTATACTTGCATCTGTATCACATAAAGCATTAAAATGAAATTTTTTTGCCTAGTAAAATTGGTAAAGTGAAACTCCATGGGTCTTTAAGTTTTGGTGGCAATTTATTTTGCTGCATTGCACTGTTCTCCTCGATTAATGCCACTTCTTCCCAGTTGGAAGTTTTTTCTTAGATATCATGTCCTTCAAGAGTTTTGCATACATCGGGATCTATCTAATTGCATCGATGAATAGGATATTGATGTGGAGCTTTTTCAGCATATCCAAGAACTTCTCAAATTGATCATCAAGCTTTCTCTTTCGCAGTCTTTGTGAAAAGGATAGTGGTGACATAAATTCTTAAGTATAAGTGGCGTCCTTAACCGTTGGATCATCTAATATTCTGATGCTCTTTTTGTCTCTATTTTTTGTTTTACTCATATTTCTCCAATTGCTCATCAACTATGGTATGTACATTTTCTTTTGTAGCAACTGGTTTCTTTGCATTAATCTATGGCAGTTGAACTCTACTGAGGATAGCTATTACCTCAATCTATTCTTCCTCCGCAACCTTCACTGACATTACTTGCCATTTAAGATTTGTCTCGATATCACTGGACAATGCTCTTGATAGTCTTTCTAAAAGTGTTTTATCTATTTGTCCCATCCAAGTTTCCATATCCTTGATGGTAGCTCCTTGAATTTGCAAAGCCTTATCTATTCTTTATATGTGCTATGTTGAGATCTCTACCAATTTACTAACAAGATCATTTAATGAATATTTTCAATCTGCTAAAAAACTTAGTGGTGCAGTCTGATGTGGCACAATTGGAGCTCCCTGATTGTTGCTCCATTGGAAACCTGGGTGATTCCTCCAGCTTGGGTAGTAAGTGTTGGGATTTAAAATGTATTGTTGTTTTCGAAAATTCTATGTATAATTGACATCTTCCATTGACTGAACAATACGGCTTCCTTCATTGCAATCAAAACTCTATTGTTCTCTACACAATGCTTACATTTCAGTCTAGCTGTCTAAACTGCATTCATTCCACTTTATGAGCTAAGGCTACCAGCTGCGTTGAGATTGCTATAAATGGATCCACCTCATGTATTCCAACTACTTTATTTCCACACCCATTTTTCAATATGTCATAGTGCATTAGTGAATATCAAGTCCTCCATGATTTGTTAGACCTGATCCGCGACTTTTTGTTTTTGTATCATCGCAAGTAGAGTCTATTTTAGCCTTACTAATTGGATTCAGAACAATGTAAAATTATTGCACCTGAAGCCATTTATGTAATCCATATTGTGAGCATTAATGAGTGGACTCTTGCCTCGCTCTCAAGCCTCTGATTACATTAGGAGTCCAAATGTTGGAATGTGTTAATCTTGTCCTTTAACTATGCAATCCTTTTTGGCAGAAAATATTTGCTAAGGAACTTCTGACTCAATTGATTCCATGTAGTAATGCTCTGAGATGGACAAGTGTCTAACCATTCTCTGGTTGAGTCTCTCAATGTGTATAGGAAAAGCCTCGGTTTGATTGCTTTGCTTGGAACTCTCCAGATACTCGATTGTTGCACACTTGTTCAAGAATCTTGATATTAGAGCATTAGGTTTCTTAGTAGCTTTCCCAAAGAACTGTAGAGCATTTTGGAACATATTTATGACATTTGTCCTTAAATAGAAGTTTGCCTGGCCAAAGCTAGATAAACAATACTAGATTGGCAATCTAAAACAAGTGGAACCATATATTCACTCATGAACCTTGCATTTCCATTCACTGCAACTATGTTTGGAGGTGCTATCCCCTAATTTGCTAAGATGGCAATAGGATTCAAGTTACCCTCTGCCATGTATTCATCTTTCTATTTTTGTGGTGTTTCCAATTGTTCTCTTCTTTGAAATCTGAATGTGCATTTGATCTCTGGATCAAATTGAGCAAAATCACTCAGTCTCGAACTTTGTATACGAATCCTAAAGAAGTAAGCAAGAAGCACTGTAAATTTTTTCTAATGAAATAAAATAGCTAATGAAGCAATAAAATTCATATTACAACTAAAATTAACTAAATTCATATTACAACTAAAATTAACTAAATTTATATTAAAAAAAGGTCCCCATTTACGATGCCAAAAACATGATCATTTGATTTCTGGCAAATGAACGGAATCGTGAACAAGTAATAAATTAGTGAATAGAGTGTTGAACCCATAAAGATTATGTGTTTGATCGAGTTAAAATTAATGGCAACTTTAATCGAATAGCAAATAAGTTTTTTTTTCTCTATACTAATCCCTAAATTATCAATTAAACTAGTGGAAGTAAGTAAATATATTTTTCAAATATGTGAGAAGCATTGCTAAAATATCAAATCCCTCTTGTTATTTCATTTTTAATGTAACAATTTGAAATCGTTCATTTTGGTCAATATTCCTAATTTAATTGAAAGCCTCTCGGTAGTAATTAAATTTATTCCCCTCATGCGATCCTTTTATCTTTCGATGAAAAATACAAACATGATAAATGCATTAATAAGTGCTAAAACACCTATTGGAACTATATAAAGCATAGAAGTATATCTTTATCCTCTATTGAACATTTTAATATTTATTATACTGTGCTTAAACCCTATTGTTTCTCTCGATAACAATAACATCCACTAACAATTCAATTGATGATCAAGCAATTGAAAAATTGAAAATATCATAACAATGGATCATCTCATCTTAGCAATATATAAAACTAACATACTAAATTGAAATTACAAGAAATCGTAGTCAACTGGAAAGACATAATCGGAATTTTTATAAATTGGGAAGATGAAGATAAATTTTGAAATTTTGAATCTTTTCATTGGTTTCTTAATGAATGTCCACTTGCGCCTTCTCTTTTTTATCCAAAAATCAAGTTTAAATCTTCACTTGACTGAATTCTTGCAAGTCCCCTTCAAATCTCTCACAGAAACTATGAATTTTGTCTCCTTTAATGATAATAATTAATGAATATTGGAGAATAATATGTATATGAGAGCTGTAGGAGCAATTTTTTAATGTATTCTGTTTAGCTACTTTTAGAAGTGCAAAGTGGTTGAAAATCACGTCCAAATTAATTTCCAAAAGAGTTCCAATTGAATAAGAAAAGTTATCTTCGCGCTCACATATTTCTGTCTCTACACAATAGTTAGTATTTTGGTCATAAATTTCTCTCCTAATATCCAATTGAGGCAATTTAAAGTGCATTAAAAAACTCACCCAAAGAGCTACAACCTTGTTGGATGTAAAATATTTCCAATTCGGACATTTATTATGCGAAAAATGGGTCTCAATATTCGACTAAAAATCTGAAATATAACTTGTGCGATTGGAAATTGATTTGTGATAATATTTTGGTCATATTTCATTCCTTTTTGACTTCTAATTACAATCAATTGACTCTTAGTAATCTTCAAAGTATCGTCTTATGATACAAATCAACTATTGGATATTTGCAATTTGGTCTTCAAATTTTGAATATCGCCCTTTTTCACAATTTTCGCTTCTTTATTTCAATTCCACTTTCAATCATCGAGTTTCACCTAATAAACGAAATGTATAATAAATTAAGCTATAATTACTTAAAAGAACTATTAAATATCTATATTTTTATATTCAAATAATTGTATAAAATGCACTTATCATCTATCTTGCTGGGACTTAATTGTGTCTATAAATATAAAATTGAGAGAGAGATATTTTGCTGAATTACTCTATTTTTTATGTCCTATTAGCAAGAAAGAGTCCATTAAATTACATCGGAAACGAATTTTTTAAACGTTGTTGAGTTTTATCTGGTCATTTTTTTAAACAAAGCATAGTAGTATTGGAAATGGTCTAATATGAACCATTTGATTGTTCATGAAACTGTAAAAATATCTATTCATTGTCCCTTATAATCTTGATTTTCAATTCTTTATTAATCAGATTGTTTAAAAACGTCTTTTATCTTTTAAAAATATCTTGTTCAATTCTTTTGAACTTTTGAGGATGCCAAACACTTCCGTCTGGATCTTCACCCACCATAGACAAAACACCAACACTTCCTCCTTTCCACAGCCAATTTCAGAGCAAGTTCTTTTCCACCAACACGCCCATAAGAAATATTGACCTTGAGAATTTATGAAGAAAAAAGATGATTAGGTATCGATATGCAGCAGCAGCTCCAGCTTGTAACTCAGATGGATTGCAACGAAAATAACAGGTTATATCTAAAGCTAACAACTACTTGCACTTGTCATATTCAAGAAACGGACTAACACGAAAGTGTACCGAGTAGTAATATATGTAGGTTGATCAAAGGTCAAAAGTGAAAGGCAAAGTTCAACAAAAAAAAAAAAAAAAAAAAAGAAAAAAAAAAAAAAAGAAAATTAAAAAAAAAAAAAAAAAAAAAAAGAAGGGAAAAAGATACATAGAATTAACTCATTTTCACTCCATTTATGAAAGACGAATCACAAAAGAAAAGGCCCAAAGAAAATCAATTTCCTCAGCCTTACCCATCACCATCATCAAATAGGTCGATTTAGTTTGAACGGCCGGGTACACTGACGGATGCGCTGTGGAATTTCAAGATTTTCTGTGTTAACTTCTTGATTTTTACTTGGACTAATTTATCTGGTAAAATCATGAACGAAATTTGGCCTGTCTGTGACATTGAATCGCCAAGTGAGGAATGGAATGCCTTTTTCAGATTCATGAAGATCATTTTCTTCAATGAACCTAAATTCATTAGCATAATTTGATGAAGAAAAACACGGCATTTTCTGGTGCTGTGATTGGTGATGAACCCATGAACTGTTATTGACAGCATTGGCACCGCCGTTATTGGCTTCAGTGGCCCTTCTCTCTTCCTTCTTGAAACGGATCCCACAAGCATTGCATAGAGACTGCATGCAGAACCAGTTCATAAACCCAACATTAGTCTCCAAATGATTAAAGAACGAGTACGAATATGGAAACTATTCGGTAACTCCAAAAATGGTTTTCAGTACGGTTTTCCCGTTTTCATTTCGGTGCAATTTAGTAACAGAAAATGTATAAGAAAATTACTAACAATACCTTCGGACCCCTTGGACCGTTCCTCCAGAGGGGAGTAGAAGTGGTGCCACAATTAGCACAGCGGCGGGCTAAAAGAGGGTCTCCACCGCCGGAACAGGTGTTGCTATTACTTCCACCACGGTTTTTGCCAGCGGTTGATGGCGGTTTGGACTGCAATATGTTCCACCCAAAGTTAGACATGCAAGAGTATCGTTTCTTTTCATTCTCACTGGTCAGTCGAGTCGAAGGAGTGCCCAAAGAAAGGGTGCAATCCACAGAAGAAGAAGCAGGATACATATCTCCATCATGATCAAATGGTTTAGAATTTGAGGATGAAAAGATCATTGAGAATGAATTGTTTGCACTGTGATACAATCCACAAGAACATTGCCCACAAGAACTATTGCATCTTTGCATCATTTTGGTGTGGGGTGCGTGGTTGGATGGATGAATTTAATGACAGAGGTGTACAAATGCACACAGAAGAGACCTACGAACAAATAGTATGTTGACAGTGATGTGTAATAATAAAATGTTTGAACTGGAGCTTAGGATAGAGGGCTGAAGCAATGAGTGTTAGATATATGAATATATATAGGCAGGTGGGGTAGTGTGGGGTTTGGTTGGTCCTTGGGCAGTCAAAAGAGCCCACGTGAAGAGGGGGAACAGTCTTCCATGGATCTGTATTCTCCGATCGCGAGGAAGCAACAGTCGAAAAACCCAATATTACATCAAACTTGTGTCTATATCTTTGCACTGTCACTGCCAGTCTCCCGCGACAAATGGAATTGCCACCACCTCGCCCCTCACGGCACCCAACGTCCAACTCACGGGACTAAACACCTTGATTTTGCCTCTTAATCCCTTTTAATAAGGAGTAATGTTATTCGGTACTATTTATGTTAAATATCAGTTTAGGTGACAATTGAATAAAATTAAATGACAAATTCATTTAAATACAATATCACGTGATTCATTTGATCGAAAACTTATCAAATGTGTCCACTTTAATTGGTTTTGGATAACATTATTCTTTAATAAGTTTTCTTTGTAAGAATAATATATATGCAGATAATTTAAATGTATGTTTATTCATAAATACGACACCGTCTAGTAGTCGAACTAGCTTCCACGTGTTGGTGCCAAGGAATGAAAGGCCTATATCCCAAATTGTTGAAGCATAATGAGATACATGTCCATAAGGCATCGCCAAATCTCAAAGGCTCGGCACTTGACCCTGGTCATGTCCATGGCACACGACCCAAGAGGGAGCATCTCGTGTGCTTGACCATGGAGGCATGTTTAGCCCTAAACAGTTTAAAGTTTACTATAAGCCTGTTTGGGAGTGATTTTTCTCTCAAAAAATTGATTTTTTTACCGTTATTTCACTATTCCAGCCGTCATATTTGACTTTTTCTCTCACACGTGGACTCCACTTTTTTTCTAACGGTCAAAAAATTAATTCTCAAAATCACTCCCAAACAGACTCTATATTCTTTAGCCTACGATGGAATCCTCTTAGCAATGCCATCGGTCAAAAGTCCAATACATGCCCCCGCTTTAAAAGGTTTTCTTGCATCTAATGTTAGATGTTATCTATGTGCGTGATAAAAGAACAAAGTTGTATATACTAGATCTATAATTTTTAACCGGTGGATCATGCCATGCACGACTATAGGGACCAATGATCTACTTTGGTTGGCTTTCACAACCTATATTTAAAATAAAAACGTGTGCAAAAAATCACATTACTTATATTTTTTGAACAAATCTCCCAAATTAAAATAAAGTGTCATTGTTCAGCATGACCTGAAAAAAGGTCGCATCAAATTAGGATTTGTTCGTTTTAAAAATTGAAATTTCTTAATATTGTGGAGCTATAGGGCGTAGTGAATGCTTCGACAACATTTTGAAATTTTTTTCTTTTGTAAAACTATGCCAAGATATTAAAAAATATAAATATGTACTTGCTCTCAACATTTTTTCACCTCTCCCACTTGAAAAGCATGGTTTAATTGTTGATAACGACATAGGAAATACAGAAATATTTATGGAGAGAGAGAGAGAGAGAGAGGATTGGAATGGGATAGTCTGCAATGATCAAAGCAACATGTGTTGTTGTAAGTATAGAGAAATCTTTGACTCGAAGGATAGAAAAGAAAAGCTATAATATTCGCCTGTCCATGCATCTTAAAATTATTCAAAATATGAAGATATGCTGACAAAAACATGGGGGCCCCACGCTATCATGACCAAGTAAGGACAAACTCATCTGGAATATCGATAGATTCGATCAAAAAAGATTCAAAAAAACAAATAATAAGAGAGAGAGCCATAGATAAATAGAGAGACAGTCAGATCTTCTTGAGATTGGCGTCTGCAGTTGGACAAACGGGAAAGATCACCGGTTTCCAAAATATGCTCTTAATTCTCCTTATAAAACTGTGATTAACCCAAGGTTATGTTGGTACACTCACACCACCACCTAAACTCGTCCGCACATTTGACACACAATATTCGATTATATATTTCCTTGGTCTCGTAAATATGGTAAAACCTCTATAAAATAATAATGTCAAGATTGAAAAAAATATTATTTTAGAGGAATTATTAATTTATCGAATAATTTATTGATTTATAGAGTATTTTATATTTTTATAACTTGCACTATATTTTACTGTAATATATGTAGGAATTTAAAGAAGAATTTTTTTTTTTTTTTTGAAATTGGTAAACTTCAAAATTTAATATGTAAGTACATAAAAAGGTATACACATAATTGCATTAAAGACGAAACATTAATGTGCATGCAATATTGACTTCAAAGTTTAATATCTTGAAAGACTAATCATTCAAATCATGTACACGGAACATAATTTCTATAGTCATTAGTTTTAACTTAGGTCCCCAATCATTCGAAATTTTATATATTTTTCTACCATAGCATCACATTTGAGAGGAGTTAAAGAAACTATATTGATTAGTAATAGATGTGTTTTATCAATTATTTCCTTAAAAAAGACATTTCAAGTAATCGTAACCTTAAATAATTACTTTGTACAACATAAAATATATGTCAAATGTAGTGTGTACATTGCAAAAATTTAGTTATAAAATTGAGTTTAATTTGTGTGCAAAGAGAGAACCAAAAGAATTTGGATGCATGTTTTAAAAAAGAGGTCAGTTGGAAAAAAAAATGTTGTCAAATTTAAAATTTGTTTATTTATATTAGTATGAACTTTTACTAATTTAACCAGTTATTTTTTATATATTCGTTGGGACTTAAAGGATTTCCCAAAAAAATAAAAAATAAAAATTTATTATTATCTTATGCATTTAGTGGAATTATTAATTTAGCATACTAGCCCAAGCCGTGACCGAAGAATTTTATTACTGAAGTGAGATTATTAATTTATCCAAGATTCATTTATTGAAGTTTTATTGTAGATTTTCAGTTTCACATAGATTAACAAAATGTATAATTAATATAGTTGAAGATATAAATTTTATTTACATTTTTCTGATTTACTCCTATATTAATGAATAATTTAAATAAGAGTAATTCATATTTATTAGTACCAAGACACATTAAATAAGGGCATATTAAAAATTTCAATCATGTTACATTGACATAAAGTTTGACATAATGCAACATTTAAATTTAAAAAATTAACTATATTCTCAATAGAGAGAGTGATCTATAATTTTGGACAAGTTAAAAAGGAAAGCATATATATCTCTATAAGACGGATGGAGTAATAATGTAATTTTTTTTCACTCGATTTGGCTTTGACCTTTAATTTCTTTCACGTTAACACGACCATTTATTCCCTTAAAATAAAAATTCACTTAATTTTGGATATATTAATTTGTTTTGAATTTTAGCCCTAATATTTTCGCATGTCAAGTGAGTCTCACCATGAATATTTCACCAAAATCTTTAAATTGGGTTCATACAGTGTAGGACAATGCAGAGAGGCGATCTATATCCTTGATGGAATAATATAGTGATGCTGTCTTTCGTATTAATGCTTACTTCAAAATATAATTTTTACTCTACCCGGCATATTGAGTATTACCGTGATGTTAATGGGTGTACACGTCCTTTGCTTAATTAAGTAGGCCATACTATATAGAGGATATTTCATACATTGTAGAAAACAATTCTGTGTATCATTTTTTATAAATAATAGTGAGGTTTGATCACAATACTTTGTACGTACTTTAATATCATATTGAACTAATAAGTGAAAATTTAAATATCGTCTTACGACTCTTACCCAAGGCAATGTACAAGTATATGCATATAATATAAGGATGCGTTTGATTGCGAGCATACAATTTGCATGGAAAGCGAGATTATTAATTAAATATATTTGATTGGTTTAGTTTTCAATATAGAAAATATTATATTTGTCAATTTTTTATCGGTAGGTAAATTAGAGAGGGTAAATAGATGAGAGAGAAAAAGAGAAAGCGAATAGCTTGAAAAATAAAAACCATCATCCCTAAAGAAAAAAAATTCTTTATTTTTGAGGAAAATATGGTCACATAATAAAAAGTTGGAAAACATTTTTCATGAAAAATCATCAATCAAATACCTCATAAATAGAGATTTGGATGAAAAAAATGACATTCTTCATAAAAATAAAGCCAATCAAACAAACTAAGGGTCCATTTGATTGCAAAGATGGAATTGAATTGAATTGAAAACGAATTCTAGGGAATTGAATTGTCTAGAAATTATTTTCTTGAAAATTGTAAATTATTGTGTTTGATGGGTATAATTTTCCACGTGGAAAATATTAAAATAAAAGTATTTTTTGATATTCGTTTGGCTTTGTTTTACTTGAAAATTGTCAATTAAAGGGATAGATTTAACTGGTATTAGGAATGAAATTTGTTTCCATTGCCAACAAAAAATAAAAAAATCAAGAAAAATATTTATTTTTTGGTGTTCGTTTGACTTTATTTTATATGAAAATTGCCAATTAAAATGAAATATTTTTGTACAATATTTCTTAGAATTTGTTTCCATTATAAAAAAAACAAAACAAAACAAAATGGGGAACTAGAAAACCAATTCCCACCATATTGGTGGGAAGGTTAATGCTTATTGTACAGAAAAAATTCCAGAATTCTTACAGATGTGTCTAAGATGGGTGAATTAAAATATTGTAAAAAATAACCCACCCGTACTGCATGTATATATTCTGTAAGAGTTCTGTACAATAATTTCTCTACAAGTAGCATTTGCTCTTGGTGGGAATTGGTTTTCAAGGAAAATCAAGAAAATTTCAAATTCCAAGAAAATCAAGAAACCAAATTTCATGGAATTCAAAACCTATCAAACAAACAAAATTAGAAGAGAATGGAATTAGAATTTCATTTTCCATGAAATTTGAACCAATCAAACATAGTGGAAGAGCTTTGAGTCATCCATGCAAAAATATTTATCCCGTGCAACTTGAAAATGATTACCACTACTTCTCAACTAGTGTAGATCTTCTAATAAGGTTCTACACCTATTAGAATT